AACTTCTATGCCACCCCATTCGCCGAAGCCTCGGGGCGACTCACAATCATAAATAAATAAACACAATATAAAACAGTATAATTTAAGTCACCCTGGCCAAAGAATAAAATAAATAAATAGTATTAACAATTAAAATAACTTTTGAATAAAAAGGTCTTCGCCTGGCGCTGAAAAACAAATAACGACGGTGCCAGGCGGACCTCTCTGGGGAGCGCATTCCATAAATTGGGCGCCACCGCAGAGAAAACCCTCCTCTGAGTACTTACCCTTCTAATATCCTTCACGGAGGGTTCCCGGAGAAGGGCCTCTCCCGCAGATCTCAAGGGGCGGGTGGGCATATATGGACGTAAGTGCTCCTTCAGGTAACAAGGACCCAAGCTGTTAAGGACTTTATAGGTCATAACCAACACCATGAATTGGGCCCGGACTTCAATGGGGAGCCAGTGAAGCTGACGGAGAACTGGAGTCATGTGAACGTAACGCCCAGTCCCCATCAGCAGCCTGGCAGCTCTATTTTGAACCAATTGAAGTATCCGGACCACCTTCAAGGGCAGCCCCACATAGAGCACGTTACAGAAGTCAAGTCTGGAAGTCACTAATGCGTGTGTCACTGTCGCCCGGCAGTCGTTCTCCAAGTAGGGGCGCAGCTGGTGGATCACCCGAAGCTGATAGAAAGCACTCCTTGCCACCGCTGTCACCTGAGCTTCCAGTGAAAGCTCTGGGTTGAGGAGCACTCCCAAGCTGCGGACCTTGTCCCTAAGAGGGAGTGCAACCCCATTCAGGACTAAGTTCAATTCCCCTTCCCCGAAGCCCGATCCGCCAACCAACAGGACTTCCGTCTTGTCTGGGTTGAGTTTCAGTTTATTGGCCCTCATCCAGCCCATTACCTCGGCCAGGACCGGTGCAGCACAGCCACTGCCTCACCTGGATTGGTAGAGAACGAAAGATAGAGCTGGGTATCATCAGCGTACTGATGATTCCGCAGCCCACACCTCCTGATGACCTCTCCCAGCAGTTATCATCAAAGAAGAAAGAATGCTGCTTACTCAATCTTCCAGTAAGAACATCTTGTTTGTAGAGGACATAGGAATCTGTCAGTGATTGCACTAAGCTTGGGATAATTTAAAGTAATTAAATTTAAGCCTTTAAGGCTTTAAAATGTCATGCTGTCATTCATGTATGGAAGAAAATGTGAATGTGTCAGTGAGAACAAAGGTAGCTTGTCCTCTGCACACTTCGGAATCCTATTCGATATGATTGTTGCTCTGGCTTTAATTTGAGCTGGCTTTAATATTCACTGGTATACACACAACACTAGCCTGACCCTCCAATGAACTGAACTTCCTTTCTAATGGATCGAGGAACAGAGCTGCAACTTTACATAATCCTCTTCTGATTCAGACTGACTGATTGTAAAGGTTTGCCCAGACTGACATGTGGCTGGAGTAGCATCTGCTGCCGCCAGTATGGAGTCATGTAAATAAAGAAAACTTAAATCAGGCCATGCACCAGCCAAAGAAATTATGAGACTCTCAAATCCCAGCTACTGGTAAAGAGATGGCAGCATATTTTCACTGAATACGTAGGCCAAGTGTTTAATAACATCAGTTTATGTTGATGCAACACTTACTGCATTAGAATAGAAGTGACACAGAAATATCTTGATGGTGGTTTTCTTTTGATCTTTCAGAGATAATTCCTGCATTCAGTACCTGGGCGATGCTACACAAGGTTGTAGTAAAGGAAATGGAAAACGTATGACTGGAACAATCTTAATATGATGTTACCAGAAATAAAGTTATCTATGTACTGGTGTGAGAACACACTGCTCATGACAAGAGAAATGAGAAGAGATGTAAGGCTGTTTTTGGTTGAGGTTTTTTTTGTTTTGTTTTTGGGGGGGGTGTTGGGGGTTTCTTGGTAATATACACTGCAGCATGCAGAAAAAGACACACAATGTACATGGGAAAAACAAAACAAGACAAAAGGAAAGTGTCCAATGGCACAAAAATGGCTTTTATAACAGGCTGAATTTCCAGTTCTATTTTGCTTCTATTTATTTATTTAATTAATTTTATTTGGAGCATTTTTATCCCATACTATACAAAAAACTTTTACAAGCCTGGGGTATTTTAAAAGGGTACTGACAGTAACTTCACAACCCATGGAATTACCAGCACATAGTAAACATTTTTATATTTTAGTAGACAAGTACTTGCAGGATGAAAGTCTGAAATTGAAAAACATTTTTAGTAAGTGAAAATAGCACCTAGTAGGGATGGAGAAAAAAGGATCCACTGTCAATGCATTCTCAAAAGACAACGGCTTAGATCCCAAGAAGTTAAGAAAATTCACAGGAGTTTCCACTCCTATCCTCCTCCCAGCAGCTACCTGTGGCCCTGAAAAGCCTCTCAAAATGCACGCCTGAAAAATTGGGGATCACCCAATTTGGAGGAATTCCTCCCCTTTTCAAGAAGCCCCCTTCAACATTTTTCAAGATGGTTTTCATGAAGGCGTGAATGACAAGGGAAAAAGAAAGATTCCTTGCGTACCTCCCTTAAGATGAGTTACCTTTGGATCCAAGGCAGTATTTATTTGCATTGAGAAGGAAGACCATAAGTGGATGTTGCTTACACTTGTTCTGAGTTTTACTGTACATTGTGCTTATTATGTTATTATTGTGAAAGTATGATTCAGTTCTACATTCTGGTGTGTTAATCTGGTACGTTATTTGTGCAATGATAATTTACTGGTTTGACAGAATAACAGCACGTAAACAGTAAAGCCGATAGCACATGTATACATTTACAGTTAAAAAGACCACCAAATAAATTCCTATTAACATGACCTTGAAGAGAGAGTGTGTGTGTGAGAGAGAGAGCTGTATCATAGAATCTACCACATGGAGCCCCTACTAGGTACTAAAATGACTAAAATCACTATTTAGGACAAATCCAATGTATGTGATTTCATTTGCGAGCTAGTAACAGTGCGACTAATTGTTTTAAAAGTAAGGTATGGGAAACTCTTCATCCAGATTATGGGGATGGGGGCTTTTACCCTCTACCCTCTAGTCCCTACTCTGAGCCCCAGTGCAGATCAGACTCCCCCCCCCCCCCCCCCCCCCAAGGCTATTTAACTTGAAGATGCAGCTCCCACTGATGACAATGGGAGCTTTCCTCCTACTGCAAACATCAGCTGCAGAGGGATGCATTCTGGATGGGAACTGCAACAGGCAAAGAGTTAGAGACCACCTCCCCCATATCAAGGCAATAATCAAGAGTGGGGTGCCTCCTGCTGCTTGTTTCAAAAAACATCATGTGCCAATTACTAAACACATGAACGATGTTACATTTAGTTTGTCCCAAGCAAGCCCAGCATGCAACCAGGAATTCCTAAGACTTTGGGTATGCCTTATGAAATTCTTAATGTTCCCTACCCCAGAATGGGCAGTAAACCCCAAGCCATCCCCTCCACCCAAAAGCCATATAACTAGACTTTTTCTAATTTCCCAGGTTTCAGAATATTTTCCTGAGCAACTCAGTATGGTGCTGTTCAAGAAACATGAACATTGTTCTTGTTGTTCTTTACAGGCCCTCCAAAATGTTCTGTCCTTGACATCCCTGCTTGGCTCTTGTACTCTCAAGGCTGTGGCGTCCCTCATGGAGTCAATCCTCTTCTTCTTCTGCCTTCAACTTTCCCTAACATTATTCTGTCATGACAGAATGTCAAGAACTGATTACTTATACACTAAACACTATAAATAGTATAGGACTTGATACTATTAGACAATCTAACTTTGAGCACCATAATGAAAAAGATAGGCACCACATAGTCTACTAGAACTTAACTCTTTAGGAACAAAATACTTCCTAAAAATATTACTTCGGCATAGGTAAGTCAGAAAAAACCTATTCCTTGGCAGTCCCTATCCTAGATGATCTTCTGTAGCACATATATGTATACAAAAGTACTACACCTCGTAACTTCTTTATGGTTCAATCATATATACGCTTTTGAAAGTCCAGCTGAGTTCAAGGGAATTTTGACTGCAAGCTTAGTAAAGCTTTGTCAGTGTTGCAGACTTAGGCAATGATGACAATGCCCAAGCACAGGCTATTTCAGAAATTAGTTTTAGTAAAACAAACAGCACAATAGGGATTAGCAAGAAAAAGTTGCAATGCATGTACTCCTGCCAAGGATTCCAGTCACTGCCCTTCCCTGCTCCCATTTTCTGCATTTCTCCCCCAACAGTCAGCATCCTGTGTACCAAGTATACTCTGTCTTCATGGGGGTTGCTGGAATGTGGATCCCCCCCACAAGAGTTTTTTCCTTAATGTTCTGTACTACTGAAAACCTTGGAATACACGCAAGTCTGCTTCCCCTATTGTATTTAGGTGTTTTTTGGCTAAAATGATTGGCACTCAGGGAACTGACTAAGAACTGTTAATGGGCACATACCATATTTTTCCAACTGTAAGACACCCCCATGGGATGCCCCCCACTTTTCATACTGATCTCCTCTTGGTCCCCCTGTGTATAAGACACCCCTGCATTTTTAGGTAAATGTTTTTAAGAAAAAGTAATGTCTTATACACGGAAAAATACTGTATGTACAATTGAAGGAAATTATACCACGTAACTGCCAAGATCAGTATTTCAATTTATCAAATAGTTTAGTAGGAGATTATTTTGAATTCAAAATATTTAGGAAATTTGTAGGTTCCCAACAATAAGTATACAGCAAAAGACTTTTTCAAATACTGTATCAAGTTTAAATAATAATCCAGTTAATACAATTGATGTGCATCACACAATGTTGAAATCAATGGCACAACTTTCATGGATTTTAGAAGTACTTTATAAATAGTCTGTTCAATTTATTTATTTATTTTTGGATTTATATCCTGCCTTTTTGCTACAAAGGGCTCAAGGCAGCTTACATCATTCTCCTCCTCCATCTTATCCCCACAACAACCCTGTGAGGTAGGCTGGGCTGAGAGTCTGTGACTGGCCCAAAGTCACCCAGTTGGCTCCATGGCTGAGCGGGGACTAGAACCCAGATTGTCTGAATCCCAGTCCCATGCTCTTAACCACTACACCACACTGGCTCTCAATTTACTTTCGATTCTCATCTTATAGCTTTAAAACGGTAAATCAGAGACCCAACATTCTCAGGAAAGACTTGCACAGAAACTTGGAATGGTTTTAAAGCAATTACTTAAACTTTCAGTAAATAACCCTGGATTTTCTGCTGTCACATATTTTAGTCCTGTGATTTCAATCTAAAATTTAGTTACAGTCAATAAGCATACTTACAAACAAAACATGTAGAACAGGAGTGTCACCTAGCAATCTAACAATCAGATCCACAGTAATTCATCTCGAACCTTCAAGGCAGAAGTAGAATAAAGATATATAAATGAAGGGCACAGTCTAGCCAAAGTGCGCCTAAGTCTCCCAACCTTGATTTCAGTGGGAAAACAAAGTGCATGCCTCTCCCCAGCTCTCACATAGACTGAAAGCAATAGGAGTGTCCAACTTTGACTGGATGGTGCCCAAAGATACTTTAAACAGCATAATCTGACACATTTACTCAGAGGAACACCACTGAGTTTAATTGTGCTTACTTCCAAGTAAATGCATGAAGGACTGCAGTCAAACTGCTCACATTATACAGAGCATATCAACTTAATCTCTTCATTGTCTTTTACCCGACTTTCCAGCAGCTACTGATTACTGCTTAGCAACCTATTTAGCTGGTATAGTACCAGAATACAGCATCCATCTCATGTTCCAAAGCATCTTTAGCCTAAAGGTTTAATGGCTGTAGTTACCAGCCCCTCAAGTTTAGACATACGTACAGCAGACAAACTGAAATCAATGGAACATAAGTCTCCAAATTTAATCCCATTAAGAGTACTGGTAAAGTAGTACGACTAAGTCTGAATCCACACCCATACTTTGTAAGGAAGACATTATTTTCACAATTCTTTTCAGAATAGTAGACTCATTTTTGTAAAATAAAAGAATGAGAAGATATTAAGAATCTAGCATGGAAATCTAAAGTAACAGATTTTAAACAAGCTAATCCATAGGTAGTTAGTTTAACAATCAATTCCCAATCAGTCCATCAAAAGCCTTTCACGTGGAGTTGGCTATCTGCAGCATTTCTCAAGATGGAGGGATCAGGATAAAATGGTCAAGATGCAAGATAAAATAAAATGCAACAGTAAGTACTATCACCTTTTCATCACTGAGACCCAGTGAAATATGGTGGTTCAAGTGCTGGACTGGGGACCTGAGAGATCTGGGGTCTAATTTCTAGCTGGTCATAAGCTCCCTGGCTGACTTCAGGCCAGTCACTCACTCTAAGCCTACCCTACCTCACATGGTTGCCGCTGGGAAGATAAAATAGAACTATATAAACTGCCTTGGGTTCCTCACAAGAGGAAAAAAAGAAGATAAAAATGCAATGTAATAATAATGATGATGATATTTTGGAATGGAATGTGTGTGCAGCTGCTGCAAATATACTATTTTTTTTTCTTTGAGATTAATCTGATACTTAGAACTAACTGTATTGCAAGTTTCATCCTTTCCAGGGAAATAAGGTTACACCTAGAAATGCATATAATTGATTTGCATCAGATGATCAATATTTAAACCATATTCAGTTTCTCTGCACAAGACCAAGTAAAATCCTACTATTAAGCCTTTCCCTTCTTCTTTTAGCATTAATATCAGAATGTTCCCTGATTTAAAGTGACTTTGCAGTCAACTGCAACAAAGTTAAATGCAGGCAGAATGTTCTTGACTCACTCCAGCTCTAACTTTCATTGTGATATCAGTCAATTATAGGCAAAAACTGGTAGCTCTAGAAAAGGATACTCATCTCCACTAAAAATCACCTTAAGCCAGTTCACTGAGGATTATGATATAGGTGGTAACTGCTTACAGATATGCAGCTGAGCTGCTTTTGCACATGGATAAGCCTTGCTTGGTTTCATCCAAATAAATAAATAAATAAATGCTCCAATGTGGCAATGTTATTGAGGAATAGAATGAAAGTAACCATACAGATCTTTTTCTAAAGTCTCATAAGCATGTAACACACCATTATCTCAGTAATTCTCTCCTTTGGCAATCCTCACAACAACCTCTATTATTGTGCATGTGGAGTAGCAAAGCAGCATGCCTCTGCACACTAGCTGGTGCCAAACATGAGCCGTATAGTTCCACGGCCTTCACTTCCCACTTGTGGTCTTCGCAGAGGCAGTTGCTTGTCTACTGTGAGAACAAACGCCTTTGGTCTGATTCAGCAAGGATCAAAAGTTACTAGGCTGTGAAATAACAACCTGCCCAGTGTACTGAAATAATGTGTATAAAGTGAATTGACCAAAATTTGAGGCCTTCCTAAAGCTCAAGATTTTTTAAAAAAAGGAAGATGCAACTCTGAAGCCAGGAAATATTGAAAAGGAACTAAGGGGAGCTATTAATTTAGTTTCTCTTCTAGGACCAGCCTATTAGTATTTGACACTAATAAATGTCAAGGGATTGGGAAAGATGGAGCCTGTGGCCAGGCTATGCCAAATGCTGCAAAAATGAGTTATGTTATAGTTAACAGGGTACATGAACATGGTAAGAGTGCAATCAACTTGTTTTTGTTTAAAAAAATGGAGGATATTTAAAGGACAAAAGTCACTTTGAGAAAGGGCCAATAACAAGCGACATGACATGAAGTGGAAGTAGTACAGATAGCTATGAAGGAGTGAGAATAAATGACTACAGTAGCCAATTGCATATTGTGTTCAACTATAAAAGGATGGGGGTCAGTTCCAACAGGGAATCATCTGTCCATGCAGATAGTTGTAACAAGTTTGTAAGTTGTGTCCTCATCACATATTCTAAACTCCGTAAATGAAACACTATAGTACAACCTCCTTTTATTACTGTCTTGATTTGAATTACTTTTTCTCTATAAAAACTATAAAATGTAGCCAAGTTGGGAATGAGTTAGTTTTAACAACTATGCTGCTTAAAGTCAGTAAGAGCTCTTAATTAAGTACCTTGTTCTTTTCCTGTTGGGTAAGGTTGTAGGATCCACCTAAGAAAGAGCTTGAGTATATTTAGGTGGCCACAGCTGCATACAATTAATGTAGTTATTCATTTAGTTTCTCTTCTAGGACCACCCTACAAGTTCAAGGTTAACCTGAAATTCAAGCTGGAGAGTGCAAGCCCATGCTCTTAATCATGGTACAACAAAGAATTCACAGTTGGTCAATACAAATGATACAAACATATTATATCCAGGAATTTCCATTGTATTCAATTCATAGTCAGGTCAACTGAAAAACCAGTAATTTCCAAAGTTTTAAAGATTTTGCAAAGAAATACTGGTTTTGATATGACTATATAATAAGGGAACTGAGTTAGCATACACACCAGTTAGGAAGGGAAGCAAGTATATAGAAAAGTGGAAAACTGGAAGAGACCAGCTACTGTGCATGATGTCATAATGACATGAGTGTGTTAAGCCAAGTATGAAAACTGAAAGTTCAGAGCACACTTACACATTAAAAGCACTATAGAATAACATTGGTTCCAGAAATCAGATTTTCTCCATCTCATATTTTATTTAATCAAGCAATTATTTCAATTAGCCTTCATCATCACTGGATTCTTCTACTGAACCATCTTCATGGTTTTCACTTTCATACTCAGGAGTAGCTTGGTCATCACAAACTGATCCAGCCTCTTCATTTTGCTCTTGCAGCTCTTCTTCCTCAAATGACTTGGCTGACTGAAGTCCCAACTTCTCCTCCTCTCTCTGCGATTCGCTAATTTCACCTTTACTTTCACTGTCACTATAAAAAAATGAGAAAGTCTTCATATTATATTTTGATGAGCAGTCTATTTCTTTAAAAAACTACTCAGATGCAAGTTCTTAAACATCAACCAGATTACAACCATAAGGAGTAATTTTCAAACTCCATACTTACAATAATTGTGTTATTGCACTTTGGCTATTGAGTGGCATTGAAATGAAACAAAAATTCATTTAAATAATTTTAATTAAGGAATCTTTAGGGAGACAGAATCTTATTGATGAAGTGAACTCTCATTTGACCTGGGAAAAATGCTTATTATATTTTATTCTGCTTTTCAAAAGAAAAAATGCTGCAAAAGCACCATACTTAAATAAAAACAAAACAGATCCTTCTGTCAGGCTTACAAACCTAGAAATTTATATAGGTTAAAAAAAGGGAAAGTGGACTCTCCTCAACCAAGTATGTGTTGCAGTAGGCCTGCCTGCTCCCTCAACAACCAAATAGGAGGGAACCTCACACTATGCCCAACTTCTTTTCCCATTCATAGGTGAACAGCAGCAAAGAGATATTCCAAAGCCATTTCATATCCTAAGACTGTCCCAGAGCAGTCAGGCAGGCCTCCATATGGTGAGTGCTTATAAGACTTGTTACATTACTACATGTTACATTGTCCAAAGGGAAGCTGTTTAAAGTGAATGGGGAATGTAGTTCCTGCAAGTATCTTCAAGGGATGCAATCAAAGGAAATAGGCCATAAGATCCATGAGAGCAAGATCCCTGAAGCAGTGTGCACACCCCAAATGCTTGTCCATCTCGACAGTAAAAGACACAGACATCCCTGGCAACAGGAAACAATCAGACTCTCATTTTGTCCTTAAAGAAAATCATCATAAAGCAAGCATCCAAGCAGCATACTTCCTAGGTAAGTATCCACATCATTTTTGGCTTTAAGATGAACGGACCAAAGTGGAGCCACAGATAAATCTGGCTGCCATACTCAAGGGCCTAGGTCTGCCTGAAAGGGTCATATGAGCTGCCCACAGAGCTATCCAGTCAGATGACCAATCCTGAGTCCAAAGGATCAAAGTCCTAGCACTGGGGTGCTAAACCTTTAGCCCATTGGTAAATCTCACCTACCTACAGTTCCCCAGATGGCCAGGTCCCTACCCTCATCTCCTGTACCCCAACTGCCAATTTTATGGTGGTTTCTCAATATTGGTGCCATTTCTATCCCATTCTAAAATATTGAGATGACTCTCCTAAAGATTAGTTACAAGCAGTAAAAGCTTTAATTGCCCCACATTGCCAACTTCTCAATACTACACTAAGACCTTTCTTTTCTCTCATAAATTTTCAAGACCTAGATTTTTATGTTTGTTTTATCAATTCCTGGCTGTTATTTTGTACTGTACTGTATTTATTCTTTCAAATATCCATATTGTATTGTATATTTAACTGTTTGTGTATTATTTTAGTATTTTAGCTGTTTGTAATCCAGCCAAACAATACTGATCATTAGCTATATTAAAATATAACAAACAAACAAACAAACAAATAAAAGAATTAAGGTAAAATATGACGGCATTTTGGTTCCACCCCTTTGCATTTTGACCAACCCACCACTAAAATGCAACTTCTTGCAACCAAAACCTTCTCTGAAATTGAATGTGGCCCCTGGGATGAAAGAGGTTCAACACCTGTGCCCTAGCACAATCAACATACAGGTGATGCTTCAAATGGAGGCTATTTCACTTCTCTTATGTAGGAACAGCTGCACAGAAATCAGGGTAACTACTGCTCTATCTGCTGGAGGGTACCAAGGCTGTTTATTCTATTCCTGGACTGGGAATAAAACCTCTTGACTAGTTCATCTATTCCAAATCTTGTTACTCTGGTTTAATATATTATAAAAGAACTGAGGAAAGGGGAAATGTGAGCACAACTTAATCTAAGAAGCACTGCATTAAGCCATCCAAAAGTACTAGACAAATCTCTGAAATCTTCTCCAGAAGTTACATATTCCATTTGAAAGTACTAAGCACAAAGCTGTCAGCACACCATTTGTAATATCTACCTTCCTCCATCTGATGCCCAGCTTTCAGAGCCATCACAAGAAAGGTCTGGCAAAAGCTCTTTTGTGGCAGTTTGCCCTTTCTGTGACACAAACTCTTCACACAGTCCCAGTTCTCGAAGGGTATCAGAGTAATGCTTTTCTGCTGCTATCCGTGCATTTTTCTGTTTTTAAGTGGAGGCAAAACAACCACATTAATCCGTAATTAAGATACACCACAGTTTAAAGAACTCACAACATACATATTTGTGGGTGTGCACGTGAGTGCAGCTTGCCAGATATCACTTATCCGAGAACATAAAACATTCAGCATTCATACGCCTTATTCAAAAGATACAGTCTATCACAGAAGTGAGTACACCCCTCACATTTTGTAAATATTTTATCTTTTCATGTGACAACCCTGAAGAAATGACACTTTGCTACAATGTAAAGTAGTGAGCATACAGCTTGTATAACAGTGTAAATTTGCTGTCCCCTCAAAATAACTCAACACACAGTCATTAATATCTAAACCGCTGGCAATAAAAGTGAGTACACCCCCAAGTGAAACTGTCCAAATTGGGCATTATTAGCCATTTTCCCTCCCCGGTGTCATGTGACTCGTTAGTGTTACAAGGTCTCAGGTGTGACTGGGGAGCAGGTGTGTTAAATTTGGTGTTATCATTCTCACTCTCTCATACTGGTCACTGGAAGTTCAACATGGCACCTCATGGCAAAGAACTCTCTGAGGATCTGAAAAAAAGAATTGTTGCTCTACATAAAGATGGCCTAGGCTATAAGAAGATTGCCAAGACCCTGAAACTGAGCTGCAGCACGGTGGCCAAGAGCATACAGCGGTTTAACAGGACAGGTTCCACTCAGAACAGGCCTCACCATGGTCGACCAAAGATGTTGAGTGCACGTGCTCAGTGTCATATCCAGAGGTTGGCTTTGGGAAATAGACGTATAAGTGCTGCCAGCATTGCTGCAGAGGTTGAAGGGGTGGTGGATCAGCCTGTCAGTACTCAGACCATACGCTGCACACTGCATCAAATTGGTCTGCAGGCCTGTCGTCCCAAAAGGAAGCCTCTTCCAAAGATGATGCACAAGAAAATCCGCAAACAGTTTGCTGAAGACAAGCAGACTAAGGACATGGATTAGTGGAACCATGTCCTGTGGTCTGATGGGACCAAGATAAACTTATTTGGTTCAGATGGTGTCAAGCATGTGTGGCGACAACCAGGTGAGGAGTACAAAGACAAGTGTGTCTTGCCTACAGTCAAGCATGGTGATGGGAGTGTCATGGTCTGGGGCTGCATGAGTGCTGCCGGCACTGGGGAGCTACAGTTCATTGAGAGAAACATGAATGCCAACATGTACTGTGACATACTGAAGCAGAGCATGATCCCCTCCCTTCGGAGACTGGGCCGCAAGGCAGTATTCCAACATGATAACGACCCCAAGCACACCTCCAAGACGACCACTGCCTTGCTAAAGAAGCTGAGGGTAAAGGTGATGGACTGGCCAAGCATGTCTCTGGACCTAAACCCTATCGAGCATCTGTGGGGCATCCTGAAACGGAAGGTGGAGGAGCACAAGGTCTCTAACATCCACCAGCTCCATGATGTTGTCATGGAGGAGTGGAAAAGGACTCCAGTGGCAACCTGTGAAGCTCTGGTGAACTCCATGCCCAAGAGGGTTAAGGCAGTGCTGGAAAATAATGGTGGCCACACAAAATATTGACACTTTGGGCCCAATTTGGACAGTTTCACTTAGGGGTGTACTCACTTTTGTTGCCAGCGGTTTAGACATTGATGGCTGTGTGTTATTTTCGAGGGGACAGCAAATTTACACTGTTATACAAGCTGTATACTCACTACTTTACATTGTAGCAAAGAGTCATTTCTTCAGGGTTGTCACATGAAAAGATATAATAAAATATTTACAAAATGTGAGGGGTATACTCACTTCTGTGATATACTATACAAAAATATGCAGACACCGCACCACTTCAGATTGGACTATTTTTAAATTGGCACCACAGCCTGAGCTGATAAACATACCGAATTTTTCCGTGTATAAGACGTTACTTTTTCTTTAAAACATTTACCTAAAAATGGAGGCGCGTCTTACACAAGGGGGGCCAAGAGGAGAACTGCGGGCGTGCTCAGAGTGGAGTGGGGTGGGGTGGGGTAGGGTGGGGTGGGGTGGGGTGGGGTGGGGTGGGGAGACTGGCACAATCACATGGGTGGAGGGGCAGCAAGGTGGCGTGTGGCAACCGCTTGCTCTCTCGGAGATCGGTAGGAAAAGTGGAGGGCATCCTATAAATGGGGGCGTCTTATAGACAGAAAAATATGGTATGACAAACTGAAGTGACATGTCAACTGCTTCACCTTTCTTCCTCTCTGCATACAAACAGCAAAAAGGCATGCAGACTGAGGGGGAAGGAAGGACATGCTACCCAAAGCAATGTCATGTACCAGAAGTGTAGAAACAGTCCCACTTATTTGATATAAGCTACCTTGAGGTCCTTCTGGCTCAAAAAGCAGGATAGAAATCAAATACATTTGTGCAAAAAAATCAGCATTGATTAAGTAGTATCACCTTTGCTTTTTACACTTTCTTAAGTGGGTCAGATACAGGAGTAAAGGATAAGAGAGCTTTCTTGGCTTATTAAGGTACACAGTTATGAGCAAACAGGCAGCAAACACTGCTAGTGGAAGTAACACTGATAAACAAAACAAAGCTTATAGGAGGGATGCAGCCGGAGTCTGATGACTGAGAAAGTGGCATAAATTATGCCACTTCAATTATCATTTTTGAAAATCAGATATGAAGTAAAGCTTGCACCATAACATAGACACACTTAGTGAAAAGATTAGAGAGGTCAAGTAACCTGCGTAACTTGTTCCAACAACAGTGGTCTCTTTTCCACCCTTTCTTCAATTTCTTCCAGCTCCTGCAGATAGTCTTTCATTCTCTGTTTTTCATGTTTCCTATTGTTTAATATATCATGAGATGGAAATGGCATGGAATATAATTGTAAGCTTTTTAGCAAAGTAAAAATGGAAGGCGCAAATCTAGTCTATGTTAAAAGCTACAGCTGCCTTCTAGTTCACTAACGCTCTTGCTAGGGCAGGGATGTCTGGATTTGGAGGATACATTGCAAAATACCTGAATATTTTCAACTTTGATTTATACATCTCAGCTAGGCTCTGATGTGGGTCATTTGCCTCAGCTCGAGTGGTTATAAGTCTCTGCAGTTCTCTCGCTCTTTGTTTCTGTTTTGCTCTTCTCCTTTTCTGCTCTTCCTCCACCTTCCTTTTTTCCTCGGTTGACTCCCTGAATGTGAAAATGAACTAAAGCTAAATAAATATAGATCCAGAAAAGTTTGTGCAATGATTTCTCAAGAAGATATATATATATATATCTATATTAAAATATAATTAAAATTATATTAAAATATACCCTATTAAAAAGCACAACCATCCATGCATGGAATTCCCAGAAGCACAGTTGCTGCCACCACCTTTGCAGCCAAGACCATCAGACTCAGGAAACTGCTAGTCCTATCAGTCATGTTATAAGACTCTCATGCATGGACCTGCACCCATTCTGATTAAACCTGCTGTAATTGGAAAAACCTTCAGTTCCATTAGGTTTGATTCAGCAATAGTGGCACTTGCAAGGTCTTTCATTTTGCTATGGAAACATCTCACCAAGGATTTACTGTAACAAACCTCCAGGGAGAACAGAAATCCCAGTGCCTGCTGATTTTGTGGGTCAGTAGAGGTGCCTGCTTGGGTCCTGTGCAACCAATCAGCTATACGATGGAAAGTGGAAGGGAAAATAGCATCCTACCAACCCTTGCTTACTTTTCCATACCACCTGCTGGCTGCTCTGTTCCTACACCCAGTGGGAAACATGAAGCCCTCCATATTTTTGGCTGACAGTTTTCATCAGACATAGCCAGCTCCGAGCAAAGATGAAAATGCTAGGCCAAAACATCTGGATGACTATAAGCTGGCCATCCTTGCCCTACCTACATAAAAATATAGCTGGTGATCTAAGAAGAGAAAGGGAGGAGAAAATGTATCTTCCCTATGGTATCTTATACTACACAGCAAATAAAAGGAAAGAAGGATAATTTATTCACTAAGTCTGTTTGGCTGTAACAGCAGCGTCTGGTGGCAAATCATTAATTAACCCATAATTAATCCCACAATTCAGACAGATATGTACACCTTGCCTGAAGTGCACACAAGCCATTTCCTGTTTCTATTAACAACTATCAAATTTCCACTTGGGTCTGTTTGTGGATTTAACAACCCCATGTTAACCCAAGAACAAGCCAGGAAGTAGCTTGGAAATAGCATATAGCCCCACAATTTGTAGGTGAATTAACCCACAATTTGTCACTGGAGATCGAAGTTATATCCAAGGAAGGCCACTGCATCACTTCCGATATTTCCTGCACAATGATGATTTTCTGATAAACACTTGTCTACATACCATATTGCTGACCCATCACTTTGTGTGTGGAGACAAGCAAAGACATAAATTTGGTGGCTTGAAACACTGCAATATATTTTGAGTTTTCAACTGCTTGTGTAACAGATCTGAGCTACTAGTTAGGACTATTAATATATCTGTAATGGGAACCATTAATGACATTTAGGACACCGGGAGTACTAAGCGTCCAGTGCAAATTCAAAAACCTTAAATTGAGACTCAAAGCCGTGGGTCGTCCAACTACAGCCCACAGGCTGGATCCGGCTCACCATGCCCATTTATCTGGCCTGCCTCAGAGGTTCTGGACTTGCCACGTGCGTGTGGGTGGGCACACAGCGAGGTGGCAGCTTGTTCACACAGAGATCGTTTTGGACTCACTCAGAGAAAATGATCTCCATGCAAGCAAGCCAGCGCCTCACTGTGTGCGCGCCCCCACCTCATCACGTGCACACACCCTCCCACATGTTATTCTAACAATAATTTGGTGTAACACCAACATGTTTTTGCTTTCCACAAGCAACATGGGATCGATTTATATATACACCAGTCACCAATGAATGGCTCACCTGATGGCTTGTAATCGTCTCCTTGTGGATTCTGTAATTCTTGGAGGTGTAGATTCTTCACATCTCGAAGATGAATTTGTATTCAAAGACCGCATTTGGGGGTGACATCTTGAAGACACAAAGGGCCAACGGGTTTCCTTTAAATTTTCTTCATCCATTTGGATGTCCTCAAGAATTTTTTCTTTATTTGATGGAATGTTTGCTGTACATAACTTGAAAGGTTCACACACAGTGATATGTTTTACATTTTTTTGTCTCTGAAGCTGCTTCTGGAATTTTTTATGCAATGTTTCAAAATCTGGGACCTTAGATTTGGTCTTTACTTTACATTCCAGTTTGTCACAGTGTTCAAGGTGGTTTTGCTGCCTATGCTTATAGGCTCCCCTGCTTCCTAACCTCCTGCTGGGAAAAGATGAATTGTGTAGAAGCTCTTCTGATCTGATTTGCATTCTAATTTCTCTATAGAGTTCTTTTTCCTTAAGTTTTTCACTGATTTCTGAACTGTAAACAAATTTAGGAACTGGCTTTGCTTTAAATACTTTTGCTTTCTTCTCAGGTAAGGAAAGGTCCTTTAATTGCATTCTCCTCATTTCTTTCTTTTGCGCTTCTCTTTCAATAAACTGAAATGGCTTTTGCATAGCTAGAAGGTTCTCTCTCCTTCTTTCTCTAAAGGATTCCCTACGTTCTTCATTTTGCTGCATTATTTCATGATAGAGAGGGACAAAAACATAAGCAGGCACTGGATTGGCTCGGAACTTCCTTTGACATTCTGCTTCCTCCTCCAATTGTTTCTTCAGCAAGTTATTTTCCAGTTCAATTAGTGACTTTGATTTGATTTTCTGTTGTTTTCTCTTAGCTTCTCGAATTGTCATCTGGAAAGGCTCAGGTATTGTTATCCTTGGGGACCATTTTTTCTTCTTCTTGCTCTTTTTCAAAGGCTGTGATTTGGATGAGATACTTGTGGTGTGCTGAGAACACTCATCCCATGCATTTTCAATTTGCTTCTGGCCAAATGTAACTAATCCACCTTCACTGCCTTTTTCTTCTAACCCTAGTTCTTTATCAGATATATCAGAAGAATTTGAACAGAAAGAATTATTTAAATCAGGCTCAGAAAATGATTTACACAAATTCTGAAGTTGAAAAGAGCTTGTCTTCCATGTTGATCTAAAGGCAAAAAAGTGTGAAGATTAATGTTATGGAAGCAACAAAATATAATCACAGTGAATAAAAGAAGATGTAGAACTTCTGTCTTGATGAATAAAAGAATGGGAAAG